CGGATCGAATCGGACGCCGGGGGTATCGATTCGATCCAATTTCCGGCGTTGTGGAAGTGGGCCCATAACGGCAGTCAGAGCCTGGAATCTATCTGAAGCGCCGGCTCCTGCTTTTTCTTGTTTATGTTTCAACTTTTGCCCAGATTTTTGGATCGAATCGGACGACGGGGGTATCGATTCGATCCAATTTTCGGCGTTGTGGAAGTGGGCCCATAACGGCAGCCAGAGCCTGGAATCTATCTGCAGCGCCGGCTCCTGCTTTTTCGCGTTTCTGTTTCAACTTTTGCCCAGATTTTTGGATCGAATCGGACGACGGGGGTATCGATTCGATCCAATTTGCGGCGTTGTGGAAGTGGGCCCATAACGGCAGCCAGAGCCTGGAATCTATCTGCAGCGCCGGCTCCTGCTTTTTCGCGTTTCTGTTTCAACTTTTGCCCAGATTTTTGGATCGAATCGGACGCCGGGGGTATCGATTCGATCCAATTTCCGGCGTTGCGGAAGTGGGCCCATAAGGGCAGCCAGAGCCTGGAATCTATCTGAAGCGCGGGCTCCTGCTTTTTCTCGTTTCTGTTTCAACTTTTGCCCAGATTTTCGGATCGAATCGGACGACGGGGGTATCGATTCGATCCAATTTCCGGCGTTGTGGAACTGGGCCCATAAGGGCAGCCAGAGCCTGGAATCTATCTGAAGCGCGGGCTCCTGCTTTTTCTCGTTTCTGTTTCAACTTTTGCCCAGATTTTCGGATCGAATCGGACGACGGGGGTATCGATTCGATCCAATTTCCGGCGTTGTGGAACGAAGTGGGCCCATAACGGCAGCCAGAGCCTGGAGCCAATCCATCTGCAGCGCCGGCTCCTGCTTTTTCTTGTTTATGTTTCAACTTTTGCCCAGATTTTATTTTGGATCGAATCGGACGACGCGGGTATCGATTCGATCCAATTTTCGGCGTTGTGGAAGTGGGCCCATAAGGGCAGTCAGAGCCTGGGATCTCTCTGCGGCGCCGGCTCCTGCTTTTTCTCGTTTCTGTTTCAACTTTTGGCCAGATTTTTGGATCGAATCGGACGCCGGGGGTATCGATTCGATCCAATTCCCGGCGTTGCGGAACGAAGTGGGCCCATAAGGGCAGCCAGAGCCTGGGATCTATCTGAAGCGCGGGCTCCTGCTTTTTCTCGTTTCTGTTTCAACTTTTGCCCAGCTTCTTGGATCGAATCGGACGACGGGTGTATCGATTCGATCCAATTTTCGGCGAGAGTCTTATACCGGTCAACGTACTAACTTCACGCACCAGACGGGGGCACACGTCGAACCCTAAACCCTGTCTAAGTTATCAATCACCTACATACTAGCTTCTTTTCTAACAATGCAAAGCTATTACTTCTTCACGCATCTCACCTTGGCCTGATTGACGTCTGTCCTTGGGCCCTTTTGTTGAAAATAAAGTTTGGATCCATCTAGTAGCGCCGCGGGCGTGTACACACACACCACCCTGGGGGCGGCATGCGATGCACAGCACTGGGAGCTGAATCTCCGTTGACTTTTTTCAAGAGTGTAGCTTTGCTTTCTTTTGTTTTTGAGCACTAGTTTTTCTTTTTAGTAAAAACAAACCTACCACCTCTGGTTCCTGTGGCCGAGGTGCATACACGCAGGAACTCAGGGCCGGTTAATGCCGCCGAGCCGCGCAGCGGTCTTGTGCGCTACCACTAAAGTTACAGGGAGGCGGGCGCCAGCGCTACGCGGCATGTACTACACGGCCACGCAGTTGCACGATCACGCAGCTGTGGCGGCCATGGCAGTTAAGCGACCCGCGGGCCGCAATGCAAATTTTTTCTAGCCACCTCAGTGGGCCCCGTGAACGTCACGCATGTCGCCGCTCCTGCTGATGCAACAGCAGTGCGGGGGATGTGATAAGCTAAGCCCTTCGGGCCTATTCTAGTCATCCCCGTCTAACTACCGCCGGTCGATGTATACTCTCAGTGTTATCTCCTGCTGCAACAGGGGCGCTAAGTAAACCGAATTTATAGACTGCACGCCGTCACGCAGGCTGGGCTCAACGCAGCAGTCAGGCAATCCTAGCCACCACGTCGGCCGTAAAACAGATTTGCCTTTGTCAGAAGTTTGCAGCTGAAACAGAGAGAGCTAGACCCTTTTGCAGACCAGAGAAACTAAAATCTAGGCTCCGAAGAGCTGGGCTGGAATGGGCGAGAAGACTATGCTCCGAGGAGCTACATTGGAAAGATACATGACTCGCAAAAGCCCCCCCCTTTTCGCCGGAAAACTTCTCCGAACGCCCTCGGGGGACGCAATTCATGCCAAGTCGATCGGTTTGGCGCGCTGGTGTAGTTCTTTTGAAGCTTAGCAAACATCTGCAGCAGCACGAAGATCGGCGGCACAAAACAAATCT